TTCACCATGTTAGCCAGGCTGGTCTCAAATTCCTAACCTCAGGTGATCCACCAGCTTCGGCCTCCCAGAGTGCTGGAATTATAGGCGTGAGCCACCACACCCAGCCTAAAAGTAGAGCATTCTTATTTCCAGAGTTGATATCTTTTCTTATCTCTAAGGAAGTTAATGAAAGGCTTTCTTTGGATGTTTTTTTCTCTGTATTTGGTCTCTTTTTTTCCAGGTGGCCCTTTCCCCATTTTTCCCCCATTTATGTTAGAGGTTTTCCTTGCATATTTGATCATCGTGGGAGGTCTGCTCTTATTTATGATTGGGGTACTAAAAGGCTTACTAGCATTTTAAGCTCATTGGTAGTGGACAATTCAATACTTCAAATAAATTTATAGAGTTGGGCAGCCATCACCTGAAAAAGTTCCCTGGTGCTCTTTTACCATTTATTCAAACTCCCATGCTCAGCCCTAGGAAACCACTGATCTGCATTTACTCTTTATAAATTTGCCTTTCTAGACATTTTATATAAATAGACTCATACAATATGTAGTCTTTTGTGTGTAGCTTCTTTTACTTAGCTTTGAAGTTTGTCTGTGTTGTAACATGTATCAGTATGGTGTATTTCATTTCTTTTTATGTCCAAATAATATTCAGTTATATGGATATACTACATTTTATTTATCTTTTCATCAGTTGATGTGTACTTGGGTTTTTCCTACTTTTTGATCATTATGAATAATACAGTTATAAACATTCATGTACAAGGTTTTGTGTGGTTTCATTTCTTCCAAGGATATATCCAAGGAGAGGAATTGCTGGGGCATGTGGTTAACTTTATGTTTAACCTTTTGAGGAAGTGACAGACTTTTTTCCACCATGCTGGTACCATTTAACATTCTCACCAGCAGTTATGAGGGTTCCATTTTCTGCACATATTTGCCTGTTCCTGTTGTTGTCTGTTTTTTGATTATAGTCATTTTAGTGGATGTGAAGTGGTATCTCATTGTGATTTTATTTGGATTTCCTAATGTATAATGTTGAAGATATAATAAAGCAAACAAGCTTTTATATGGTGTAAAAAATCATCAGACCCACTAATTTTTACTGTAGAATGTAGGTTAATGGTTTAAGCCAGTTAATAGTACAGTTCTTCACCATTTTGGTTCCTTCCTTCACAATCCTTTTCCCATTATCTCCACTTTTTCAATTGTTGAGTACCCTATCATTTAGATATTTCATTCCAGTTTATACTACTATTGGATAAGACATATTCATTTGGCAATCCTATACTGAGCACTTTCTAATCATCTGGCCAACATCATTATCATAGCTAATATTTGAGTATTTTAAAAATGAATTTTACGTAGTTTTATCACATTTAACCTAACACTAACACTAAAGTAAGTATTAATACTGGCTCTATTTAATAATTGAGGAAACTGAGACAGAGAGTTAATATCTTACCCAGAACTCATAGTTTGTAAGTGATAAAGGCATGATTTTATTCTAAGCTAGTTGATTACAGAAACTATTATTCTATCCTGCCTGATAAAACAGACAGTATTGGAGACAATTATAAATAGCCAGTGATACTGTGTTAGTATTTCTAATGAAGAAGAAAAAGAGAAAAGAAGGAAAAACAAACTAAAAATTGATATCAGTGGAAAAGTACATAAAGTATATTCCAACCGAGGATATTTGAGATTATCACTAGAAGAACAATTAAGGAAGTTTCAAGAAGAAAGAACTTAAAAGTAGGTGTATAGACAAAGAAGTTTCCAATGTATTTCTTCCTTATAGCTGTCTAGTAGTATGCTAAAAATGTTTAAGCAAATGCCCAAATTGCAAGAATATAATCCAGGGTACTCTTCATACATTTTCATAATAAAGAAAATCCAAACTGGTGGTTGAATTTATATAGAAACACCTTTAAAATATTGTTGAACCATTGATGCTATCTAAAGTTAAGATATAGATTCTTAAATTAGAACATTTGTATTCTACAGTGTTTTGGTTCTAGTATCTTGTTTTTTTAAAAAAGTAGATAGGATCATAGATTACATTTAATACTCTTTGTCTATTTGCAGTAGAAAACTTGCCTGTGATGAATATTTTTGTACTTAAGGCAGTGAAAATGGTATATTAGTATATATGTATGAACATATGAGGAATAAAAGTGCTATTTATACAACATTTCAGGAAGTAATAAATTTGGTACTCTTTCTGAAAGCTTTGATTACTCTCTCAGACTGTAAAAGAACTGAGAACCAGGAAACCTTGAGTTTGTTAGAGCTATAGGTGCAAATTTTCTTTGGTGCTTTTCACTATTTTGTTATAGGAAATTGAAGTTTATTGCCAATGATTAAAAAAAAACCTTTTTCTCTAATTTGTGAGAAACATCTTAATAAAACACTTTAGAAAGAAAAAAAAATGTATAGAGTACATCACTGTTCTACTCACAGTCCTCTAGTGGTTTCTTATTCTAGGTATAAACTCCAAAGTTTTTATTATAGCCTCTCTGACTTTATATAATCTGATTCCCAGCTAACTTTCTGACCTTGTTTCTTTCCTTACTTCTCCTTACTTTGTTATAGCCACATAGGTAGAATTCCTAAGGGTTGTGGGAACACACCAAGCACATTTCTGTCTCAGAGTCTTTGAACTTCTTCATTTGCCAGGAATATCCATTTCTCAGAGAGCCCCATGGCTTGCTCCCTTAATTCATTCAGGTCACTGTTATATGACATCTCATTAGAGAGGCTTGCCCATGCTATCCTATGTAAAATAGTATCTCCCATCCCCTCAACCAATCTCTGTTCCTATATGGAGTAGACACTTTGGTGATTGTTTTTTACTCTTTTCTATTCTAGAATGAATGTAAGTCATAGAGCCAGGGATGTTATCTGTTTTATTCTTTATTATAGCCCCAGAGTCTAGAACAGAGCCTGGCACACAGTGAAGGGATGGATGGATGGATAGATGGATGGATAGATGGGTAGATGGATGATGAATTGGAATGTCTGGCTTTTGTTTAAAACTGAGATTTGTGGTATTAGACATAATGATAATTTAATTGATTCCTTACATCTCTCTAGCTCTTTACCATTTTCAGTGATTTTATGTTCACTTTGCCTCATTTCATCCATTCATTGGCCCTCTGAGCTAGGCAGAAAACTGTAGTCATTATCCCTATTTTATAAATTAAAAATGTGAGACTTAACTTAGACCCTTGCCCAAGGACACAGGGCTAAGAAGTAAAAATCTGGGTAATAATCTAGCTCTTTCTCTCTCTGGTAGATATTATTATCACTGCCCAAAGCTATCACCTATGGAAAACAGGATCTTTTACTGAGGAAGGTGATGAAATCCCCTTCTCTACAGTTTTATAAAGCAAACAAACCTAGTGTTTATAGTATATATGAGGGGAGCCCCAGGGCTACCTGATGGTGAAGAGCCATGCTGAGTCAACTTTATTCCCACATTAGGTTTTTAGTTAAATTCTGTTGATTGGAATAGGGGGGAGAAAATAAATTAGAGCAGAAAAATATCAAAATACATATTTTGACAGGGAAAGAACCTCTATTGACTTTTGAACTGTAAGAAACTTAAGGTCATCACTCAGATTACACCACTCCTCTTCCTTCACATGCCTCAGGTGATTAAACTTCAGATTAAGAGGACAGATTTATTGCCTGTGGTCAATAAATCTGTGGTCACCACAACTGCTTACATATGCCTGGCACTGTCAGTTTTTAAGTTATGCCTTGTGCTGAAGGCCCTGTTAAAATCTATGAGATTGCCAGTTTTTCTTACTTTAGTATGTCAAATGTGGTAAAAGACAGTTTCCCACACTCAGTCGCTCTAGTATATTATTCCTTAGTTCTTCCATTTATCCCATTATTCTGACTCTTGGTCTTCCTCTTAGGAGGCTCCAGGTGTCAGGCAGGAGGGGCCCTCATCCTCTATGTCCTATACCAGATGATCACTACTATAGGAGATGGATCATCTTTTTCATTTTTGTACCTTTATGTCAATAGTATCTATCATAGTATCTTACTGAGCGCAAAGTAGGTGCTCTGAAAATACCTAAAACTATTGAATTATATCAGTATATATTAAAAGATCCCTATTGCTTCTCTAGTTTTCTGCTGATCAAATGATAGAACCATTTGATCTCTATCAAAAATCTCATGTTTTGGAGGCATTTTGTCTCTTGATTCCATGTAACAAACAGTAATGGTATGCTATTTTTGACTGGACCTATCCTAAAACCTGCCATTCTTGGCCCAGCTCTGTTACAGTTTGCATGGGGAAATCAGGTTGTCACAGATTGTGAGCAGATCGAATTAGTGGTAAATTCCATTCCAGGGTACGGGAGAAGCTTAAGGAAATAGATAGTATCCAGTCTGGAGAGAAACTCATTGTCCTCTTCAGACAACCTGATCTTGATGCTGATGTTCTGTATCTTCAGGTTGAGGCAAGGACCCCTGGTGATGTAATGGGTTCAGGAGATTTTTGCAAAGAAAGGAAAAGGCAGGGCAAAAGCCTGTTAAGACTGCCATCTACCATATCAGGAAAGAATAAGAAATTATAATGATAAATTTTGAAAAATTAGAAACTTTTGATCCCTTCCCTATATTTTATGCCTTATTTCCTATTCAGTATGAAGAGTGAAATTCATAGAATAAGTAGGTATTATGAGGTTGTCTTCAGGATTGGAGAAGAGGCAGGTAGAGAAGCTATAAACTAGCTATAAGCTAGCTTCTCATTCACAATTAGGTTTTGGGTGGGGGAAGGGAGCCCCAAGGGACTGAGTGGATAGTGATGGCTAAAAGTAGAGAGAGACTCAGATTGAGTTCCTGAGACAAGCTACACTAAGGTGAGAGCTTGGAGGCTAACGTGAATTTCAGAAAGAGTATCAGGATGGGGTTTCTCATGGGGGTTTGGTGATCGTGATAGTTAAGTTCCAGGGCAGCTGGACCAGATGCATCTGGCTTTTCTTCTTTGCACAGAATGTGAAGGCTGTGTCTGAGACTCCCGCAGTGCCACCAGTTTCAGAAGATGAGGATGATGATGATGATGATGATGCTACCCCACCACCAGTGATTGCTCCACGCCCAGAACACACAAAATCTGTGAGTCTTTGGGAACCTGACCAGTTTTGTGATTTATTAGAGTGAGTGGGGAAAGGGAGGAGTTGGTGCTGAGACCTAGAAGTTTAATATTCTGGTAGGGGTCCTTAGATTTTGGAGCTGGTGAAATCACTGAACTACCTTACTGAAGGTACTTTCTGTATGACTGAAGACAAGAAGTGGTGTATTTATTTATCATTGGTTTGCAAATAGTCCCAAAGTGTCCTAGGTAATTGATGTTTATACCAATCCAGTCTTGGTTTGCTTAGCCTGTTCTCCACAGATAGGAGAGGAAGATATATAGGATTGATGCTACTTAGTGCAGGACTAACATAAATTATTCCAGTCTCCAGGGAAGCAACAAATTGTCTTGCTACAGATCTTTTCTTCTCTGTTAAATGGGCAGCGTTCAGCCTCTTAGAGCATTATTGATAATACTGAAAGACCCAAGAGAATTTATAAATACATTAGCGCTATTAATATGCTGGGCATCAGGAGTACATTTTGGTGCTGGATGTTGGCAGTGATTTCTGTTTAACTTCCTTTGAGGTTCCTGCATCTCAGAATAGCCATAGTGCCTCTACCCTTGCTTTGAAAAATCTAGTCCCTGTGCCCTTTACTTGATTTGGCATCACTGAGCATTGACCTACCATCAGATGATACTAGTATTTCTTTGTTTATGCTTTTTATTACAACGAGAGCTCCATGATGAAGGAATCATCTAGGACTTAACTTCTGTGATCACGAAATGAAAAAAAAAAAAAAAGAAAAAGGCTGCCTCTGTAATACAGCATTCAGGGAGGTGTTCAAACAGAAAGTGATTGAATGTCTATTGGAGATGCTGTGTAGGAAATTCAGAGGAATTATATGACCTTTTAGGATGAGAACTTAGAATCTGTGGAATCACCTTCTCTGTAGTTCACAAAGTTACCTTAAGGAAAATTGAGCTTCAGAATTGGAGAGTTGCTAACACTGATATGGTTTCTTTTGGTTTGTAAGCATGTTCATTTAAAACATTTTTTTCTCAGTAAGCCATGAACACCTCAAAAAGTAGAGGAAATCCATATATGTGTATTTCTAGTGTTTAACATAGTTCTTGGCACCTGCAGAGGTGGGTAAATATCAGAGGGCAGTAAATATTGAATGAATGAATGAATGAATAGATTGATAAATTCAATCTTCATAGCATTTCTTTCTAAAAAGGTATTGTTAATTCCTAATTTATAGAAGAAGCAGCTGAGATTTGGAGAGGTGAATTGATCTGCCCAGTCTCTTAGTAAACTAAAGAGCCAGGATTTGAAAGCAGGTAATTAACCCCAACTCCAGGTTGTTTTCCACCATAGCACAGTGGTATTTTTGTGTGCAAACCTGTGCTAGAAGCCAGAGAAGGAGACTATTAGAGAAGGAAAAGGCAGGCTGTCTTCAAAGAGACATATCAGGACAGGCAAAAGAGGTCAAGGCATGAAAGTATAGGTTTAGGTACCTGGGATATAATTCATCTACAGGTACAAGAATAGAAAATTGAGAAATCATTATACTAGAGTAGTAATCAGGAAAGAAGCCATTGCCTCTGATCTTAGTGTCTTGGCTTATTGCTGTTCCCACTACATGGAAAGTTCTCTCCCATTTCCACCTATTAAAAGCCCATCCAGTCAAAAGGTAGCATGGTCAAGCAGTCCAAGGTGCAGGATTTAGTAGGTTTTAGTGTCTGTGGAACCGTGGGTTTGAGTCCTACTGCTGCCAATGGCTTTGCATCTTCGCAGATAAATGATCATCATAGATAAATGATCCTCTGTTCTTTGTAGAAGCCTATCCATCCTTCAGGATCCTGCTGAAGGATCCTGTTTATTCATTTATTCCATCAAATATTTACCTGAATCCTTGCTTTTTTGTAAGTGGTTAGTTGGAGAAACTCAGGGATGAATGACCCACATTCCCTGTCCTTATACAGCTTATAGACTATCCAAATGATAATTGTGATATTTTTATGATAAAATCTGATAAATACCTTGAAGCATCCCCTAGAGAAAGGAAGTATAACTTAACAATCATTTCTGAACCTCAGTAGTATATAGCTTGTTCATTTCTTTATGACATTTATCCCTTTCTTGTAGTTATGATTTTCTCACCTCCTTTATAAGAATGAGAGGATGGAGTAGCATTTTGTACAGGGTGAGACAAGTAGATTCTCAGTAAATGTTTGTTATGTAAATGATGAATAGAACATTTAATATTTTTGAAACATAAAATTTGAATGCTTAATGTCTGTTAGGGATGATTCTGATTACCTCACATATTAATCAGTTTACTCCTACAGCAACCCCATAAGATAGGTATCATTATTAACACCACTTTATAGATGAGGATACTGAAGAACAGAGAAGTTAAGTAATCTGCCCAAAGTCATGTAGAAGGTAAAAATAAAGAGTTGGGGTTTAAGTTCAGGCAGTCAGGTTCCAGAGTCTGTGTTCTAAATCACCACACTCTACTGCCTCTTGATGAATAACAAAAGTAGTTCCTTCCCTACAAGGGTTCAGGATGTAAGGAGGGAGTAATTCAATAGAAGCTGGTGTTGTGCTACTAATGCAAAGTGCTATGGGAATACAGGATATTTCTTTTAGCTTGGGAAAGCATAAAATGTTACAGATGAAGGGGATACTTATCTAATTATTGTCTTTAACTAATTTCTTTTGATAGTTGTCTAGCCTCTATTGAATATCTTTAATACTGAGACTCTCACTTCTATTGTGTACAGTGAGAGCAAGGAAGGCCGTTTTACCCAGAATGAATGGGCCTAGGCACAGAGGAGGAGTAATATAAATTTTGACATAGGAGAAAGGATGAATTTATTGGGATTTGTTCTGTGGATGTTCTAACCTCACATCTAGGAGAGGTTCCCCTATGCCCTATGCTAACAAAGGCTGGCCTTGCCAAAATTTTGCACTAATAATGCAGGTATACACACGGTCTGTGATTGAACCACTTCCTGTCACTCCAACTCGGGACGTGGCTACATCTCCCATTTCACCTACTGAAAATAACATCACTCCACCAGATGCTTTGACCCGGAATACTGAGAAGCAGAAGAAGAAGCCTAAAATGTCTGATGAGGAGATCTTGGAGAAATTACGTAAGGAATTTATAGCTTTCTGAACCTTTCTTTGCTGTATGACTGGTCAAGCACAGAGATGAGATTCTTGGTTGTAGGCTTTGTCCATGTGGCTGTCTGGCCATGCTTGGTACCTTAGCCACAGACTGCTTCTCCTCACCCTGCCCCTACACCTCCCTTCCATGTCTCACAGCCCTGGTTGGATACTATGTTAGAATGGGGATGTGGTAGGAGAGAGTGTGAATAGCTCACTTTGAGAGTAGGGTACCCTTTGCCCCTAGGCATGGATTATAGAGATAGCAAATAGTTTTTCTCTAATGAATAGTCCAGAATGCCATGTTGAGAAAGACTGAGGACCTAGTGGAAAAGGGCACTCTGATTGATTACTGATGTTTTGCCATTGACCTAGGAGAAGACAGATCTGCCATCTTGGTTATAGGATAAGAGGGAAGGGAAGTTAACATTTTATGAACCTGTAGTATGTATCAAATGACAAGCAAAATATTTTCTTGATTTTTAAAAATTTAATTCTCTTGTTAACCCTGTGAAGAAAAGCATTATGATCCTAATTTTTGTAATTAAGATACTTGAGGCTCAGGGAGGCTAAACATCCTGGCCAAAATCACACAGCTAAAAAGTGACAGGGCTGAGGTTAGAACACAAGTTTTTGTTCCTGTAAGTAGAGCATATACTGCCTCTTGCTGTCAAGTGGAAACTTCCATTTTACTTTCCTTAGCTGCCAGAAATGAGGGTATGTTAGGGTAGCTTATTTCTGTGTTTCAGTAAACTGCAGAAGAATTCATATTAGAAGGAAGAACTAGGTTGATCTGTGGGCTTGGAAGAATCATTTGACAAGGGCTTTAATTTATTCACTGTATCTACTTACTTCCAAAGAGGATTTGATGTGACTGATTTGGCGACATTTGCAAACTGGCACTGCTTTCCAAAGCCAAGGTTTCTGGTTCTCTAGTTCTTCCTGATTAATTCATGTGTGACTTTAAAAAAATTTTTCACTGTTTTAAAAATTGCCCTTTTCTGGATCCCTCATAAAATGACAAAGTAAGAAAAGCCACTTATCTAGTCATCTGTTTACTCCTGTATATAGTCTTGTTCTCTAAACTAGACTTTTTTTTTTTTTAAACAATAATACTTAGAATTATGGAAAACAGACTTGGCCTGGGAGTTAGGACACTTGAGTTGAAGCTTCTGCCCAGCCACTGACTTGTGTCTTGGACAATTTTCTACTGTTCTCTAAACCTTATTTTTCTCATTTTTAAAATAGGGACGTTAATACTTGTCTCATTTGTAAATCAAATGAGGTAATTTATATGAAAAGTACCAATTCCTAGTACTTGGGTATTAATGGAGAACACATTGGACTGGGAGACTAAAAACGAAACTCCTAATCTTAGCTCTGACACCAATTTGCTGTGTGACCTTGGGGAAGTATATTCTTCCCTTCTATGGGCCTCAATTTCCCCATCCCTAAAATACAAGTCGTAAAACCCAATGAAAAACCTCTGTGTCTTTGCACTTGAAGTATTCTTTGTTGTAAACCTCTTCTCTACTTTATCTCTCTGGCTAACTTCTACTTAGTTAAAGTAGAAATCAGTTTATATATCACCTTTCTGAAGCTTTTCCAGTCTCTTTCTCTTTTTTTTTTTTTTTTTTGGTGCCTCTTTCTGTACCCCTTTGTCATTTATCACAGCAATTATATTTTCATGGAACTTCATGCTTATCTGTCTTCTCCCATGAAATTGACCTTCTTGAGAGCAGGGACTGTCTTGACTGTATCACATCTCTTCATTCCTACCTCAGCATATGGCTTGCATATTAAATGAGTAAATATTTACTGAATGGATTAATTAAAAAATGAATGAATAAATTTTCAGGAGTTTAGAAATGGGATAGCTTACTATGAATCAAAGCAGTCAAGGAGATGAAACTTCTGGTTGGGACTTATGGGGGAAAAGCTGAGGGTCTGTTTAGCATGCTCTTTGGCTATTGGAGGTAGTTCTTTAATCCTTGCCAACTCCAGGGGTTGGGGAAATGTGGGACCTTTTTTCTATCTTGATTTGGGAAAAAATGATTTATGGTCTCTGTTTCTTTCAAAGGAAGCATAGTGAGTGTCGGCGATCCTAAGAAGAAATATACACGGTTTGAGAAGATTGGACAAGGGTTAGTAGGGGCATTTTCTTTCCCTGGAAAAATGACTTTGAAGTGTGTGCTGGCATATATGATTTTGCTTTTGTTTTCCCTCTGATAAACGTTGTTCTTCTTTCTCCACTTTACTGCTCACCCATCTGGAGTTGTTTTGTTAGGCTGACTTCAGATTTAACAGAATTATGCTTAATATGAGAGATGTGCCATTAGCTGACCATGTTGCTAAAAATACCCCTGCAGTGACAGTGAGAGAATGATTTTTTTTCTTAGCACAAAACCAGCTTCCCAAATTACAACTCTGCTTTTCCAGATGAACCCTGTTTGTTCTAGTGCTGAGATCTACCAGCACTAGTATAAAATGGAAGACCCAGAACTACAAACCCTTCTGCTAGTTTTTCTAAGTAGATGCCAGAATTTATTGTCTGGCATTCATCCTTCTCTGTTATCTTGTATGCTGCCTTCAGTGTAATGAATTCAGCAAATCTTAACTGAGTTCCTCTTGTGTGCTAGGCATTATGCACCCAAGAATTTCTGAAAATAAGATAAAGATTGCATAATATGGGGTTATGTTTATACAGTATTCTGCAGTTCACATCTGTTATTTGCATTCATTGTTTAATCCTCAAAACAACTCTGGGCTTGAGTGGATCTCATTTTTTTTCTGGTTCCACTGTTTTTCAGACTAGACAGGCTTTTGTGAGTCTGAACTGGTATAAGGTATTTAACACCTTGAGAAAAAATTATTTTGCTTACCTCACAGTAATGTGGGATGGTGTTTCCTTTAGGTAGTGAAATTGAGATATTAAGAATGTAGCAGAAATGTACATAGACAAGCTTAGACAAGTCAGGTTTCTTCTCTGGACTTTCTTCCTGTACAGTTAAGGAAGAGAGATTGGAAGAGAGATTGTAAATTGAGGGTCAAAACTTTTGTGACTCTTTTTTTTTGAGGTATTTATCTACAAGACCTATAAACAGACAACATCTGCACAAGTTCTTTCCTTGCTTACTTGACAGGTCTGTTAGTGCTAAGGGAAGAATGAAATATTTGTTAAGCACCTATGCTGATGTTTCCACATTCCATAATTTTTAAAATATAAGTGCCACACCAATATGATGAATTGGTAATATTGTAATTTTTGCTTGCTTTTATTTCTCTTTTAAGACCTTAAGATTCTTATTTTGGACTTGGAATTCATATGTCTAACTATATGTCTATTCAAGTTAGAAATTATCAGGTATTAGCCACTGGGCCTGAGTAGCTTTCTAGAACTTTACAATCATGGAGACAGTCCCCAGATGTCCAGTCTCCTGAGGCTTGGGCATGTTTGTCCTTTAAGAATAGTACAGCTAGCAGGACTAGGAAGGGATGGGGATAGAAAGACAGATACCAGCTTTATAACAGAAGTTGGCTAGAGGCAGGATAATCAGGCAGTGAAGAAATAACTGCCCGTGCAAGTCATCCAATCCTTATTTGATAGCTAATATGTTATAATCACAGTTTCCAGGCATGTAACTAGGGTCTCAACTAGAGTGATGGTTAGGGAGCTGGTGACCATAGTTTCTAGCTGCAAGGCATGCTTATAAGTGACTTTTCCCCCTTCTCCAGAAATTATAATTTCAGGGCTTGCCTAGGAAGCATTCTTGCAATAGAGCAGAATTTTAATTTTCTTCAAATTGCATTATATGTACCTAACATATGGCATGTATAGGTACAAATATATGTTACAAATTACTTACAAATATACAGGGTTTATGGTTATAAGCATAAAGTGGGGGTTTTAGTTATTTTGAATGGATGTGATTACTTTCCTAGCATTATTTCTAGCATTTCTTCCCCCCTTCTCTGTCTGTATATATGAATGTGTATATACTTAAATATATATGTGTACACACATGTGTCTTGTGCGGTTGGTTTTACCTTGGGGGTGGGGTAGAGGTACTATCATATTTTCTGGGAGCATATATGTTTGAAAGAGTATATTTAATATTTTATGTTTGAAAAATGAAAACTAAAAACCACTTTTATAATACAAACTACAGAAAACAAAATTCACATATCGTATTGATCGAATAAATGGTTGAAAAACATTATTTTATTTTAAAGGGTCATAGTATCCTATAATATCAGAGTGGGAAGGGTACTTTGAGATTATTTTAGATTATTCAATATGGTTCTTCAAGTTTTTATGTTTTTTTACTATTTGTAGTTTTTTAATGTAAATTTTTACTAAAGATAGCATACGTAAGTATACAACTCAATGAATTTTCAAAGAGTGAACACACCCATGTAATCAGTACCCAGATTGAGAAAAGGAACATTACTGACACCCCAGAAGTCCATATTTCTTTTTGATAAATATTTAAGACCCACCACCCCATCCCCAAACGCATTCTGAAATTCTCCGCAAGGCCCCTTTCTCTTCACCTCTTACCCTGCAGTTGAAAATCATAGATCTAATCTTATCCCTTTTATAGATGAAGTGTTTGAAGCCACAAGAAATTAGAGCCACTTGCCAAGGGTGATGGAGGAAAGGAGGGAAGCAAGCAGGAACAGGAAATTAGTATATATTGAACATCCATTATATGTTATGCAATTGGCTAAGTACTTTACATGAACTAATCAATTGAAATTCTCTTATATGCTCTTATGTCCACTTCACAAATGAAGAAAGTGAAGCTCAGAGAAGTTAAATAACTTTCTCAAGATCCTGCCTAGTAGATGATACTAGGTAGAAGTACCAGGTTGGAATTCAGGTCTCTTGGCCACTAGAGCCTACATTCTCTTTACTACCACTTATGGCTTCTTAAATATAAAAATGGGAGGGCTGCAGGGAGAGAATTATTTTTACTGCTATTATTTTTGACACGCTGCCATATTGTATGTAGAGCTACATTTGACAAATATCACTTCATTGAAACTGTGCTTTTTTCTCTGTTTCTCTCCCACCTACTATTCAGTGCTTCAGGCACCGTGTACACTGCAATGGATGTGGCCACAGGACAGGAGGTAAGTATCCACTGCCCACTGTTACTCCTTCAGTTCTACTATTTCTCTTTATTTGGGATTAATTTTTAGCCCTTCTTAGGTCAATAGGAACATTTCTAGGTTGGTTTTTTTTTTGAGACAGAGTCTTACTCTGTAATCCAGGCCGGAGTGCAATGGCGATCTCCCCTTACTGCAGCCTCTGCCTTCTGGGTTCAAGCCATTCTCCAGCCTCAGCTTCCCGAGTAGCTGGAATTACAGGAACCCACCACCACACCTGGCTAATTTTTGTATTTTTAGTAGAGATGGGGTTTCACCGTGTTGGCCAGGCTGCTCTCAAACTCCTGACCTCAGGTGAACTGCCCGCCTCAGCCTCCCAAAGTGCTGGGATTACAGACTTGAGCCACCGTGCCCAGGTGGAACATTTCTAGTTTCTTACTATAGTATACTAGAGCCAAATAGCAGGCTAACATGATGAAACTTAAGGTTTGGACTAAGGTGACATAATTAGATGGAAGGAAGTGGATGGATTTGAGAGATACTTAGCAGGTAGGTTTGACAGGATTAGATGATTGACTGGATGTGAACATTGCTTACAAATTAGTAATATTCAAGGAGAAAGAAAAAAGAAATTGGATACTGCCTGATTGTCAAGTGGATAGTTGCTTTGTACACGTTTGTGGCTTGTGAGAGAAATCTGATATAGAGGAGATTTAAACCATGTCTCTTGACTTCTAATCTGCTGGTCCTACCTTTACTTTCCACTGAATAGTGAAATCCTCATTTATTTGGAAGCAGCTTTTTGTCCCTCTCATTTCACTAAGCCAGGAGAACTCTGACCTTATTGCTAAAGCCTGCTGACCCAAGGTCTTATCTTCAGTAAAAGGAAGCTATGAAGGGAATATAGAGTACTTCAGTTTCCTTGCATTCTAATATTTGGTTGCAGAGGAGTGTCAGCCAGTGAACTGTGGATGGCAGCTGCCCAGAAGAAGTACTTACTTCAAAGAGTACTGGGACACAGCAGTTGAGAGAGGCACCCTCTCTTCCAAAGAAAATAGAGTTGGGCTTCTCTGAGGGAGGCTGCTTGAAACGTGTGTCTATATTTTTGGTGGTTGAAACCATGTGGCACCCTGGAGAAGTCACAGTTAATAGGGGTAACACATATCTCACTAGGCTCTCATGAGTTTTTAAAGTGTTAAAGCCAAATATTAAGGCTCTACTTAGGGTAAGGCAACTTTTAAAAATCATTATTATGGTTAAGGATTTATTCATTGTTCTTTGACATCAGAATCCAAAGACCTAGACGCTTACAAGCCTTTAGCTACTTATATAACCTTGAACAGTTATTTGACCTCTTTGAGCCTGAATTTTATATATTTATAAAATGTGCATGATAAAATGTTTACAAAAGTGTTGAAAGGATTCAGTAAAGCAATACATGTGAAAATGCATTATAAACTTTATGAACTACACACTCGTATTTGTTCATTTTTACTCATATACATATGTATGTATTCCACAAAGCATTTGCTTTATGCCACACCTTATGCTAAGAACTCTGTGAAAGTTCTCAGACATTAAAATCATATGTAAATGTAAGAGACCATAATTTCCTTTGTGTACATATAAAAGTCTTGTAATATTGACAGGAATCTGCCTTAAAGTAAAAATAATGGTGAGGAAGGAAGGATAGTATTATCATGGCATTTTAATGATGGTGAATATGATGCAGAGATAAAAAAGAGAAGGCTATACCAATCCTGAAAAGAACTCTATGAGGTAGGTAATATTATTTCTTTTTTACTGCTGAGGAATTTGAGGCTCAGGGTATATAAATAACTTTTTTGCAAAGTTGTACTGTCAGCGATTAGCAGGCACTGGATTAGAATCTTTGACTTTTAATCCTATGTGTTTTGGGTCGTAAGAGCACAACAGAGCTGAGGTTAGATACTAGAGTCTCTTGTCATGTTTCTGCCCTCCCAGGCCTTTTAGCCCTTGATGGGAGGCAGGTAGGTGATGATAGTGGTTCCTGGAAAGCCTGGAGGCTGACTGTGTGAGAAGCTGGCCAGAAGAAAGAGAAATATAAATTCATTGTGTGCCTGCCTTGTGGTTACAAAACTGTGAATGGAAGGGAGTCCATCGGGGTGGCTAATGCAGTGTGGTCAGGAAGCCTTCATTTCCTGCCCCAAGGACTATAAATCTTTAGTGGAGTTGGTGGGATGCTCTCAGTCTCTGCCAGTGAGTGCTTATTGGGGGTTATCCAGCTTAGAAGGGCAGAGCTATTGTCTCATATATAGGAAGAATGTTAGTGCTGGGAAGACTTCCAGTTACAGATCCAACAGTTATTTTTCAAGCGTGTTTTTAGAGAGAATGTGTATAACACACTGAAAGAGCCTTTGGAGTTACATGGACCTGTGGGCATTGGTTATGACCTTAGAATTTTCCTGCAAATCTTAGCCTCAGTTTTCTTACCTGAAAATACAGGTCATAATTTTTACTTTGCTGGGTTGTAAGGTTTTACTATGATAATATAAGTAGGGCATCTAGCACAGAGCCTGGCACACAGTAGTGGTGGGAGAGTGGTTGCTGTGCCAAGTACTTATTAAATACTTTATTACTATGATTACCATTTTCATCGTTGTCTAACTTTATTGGTTAAATTATTTACTTATTACTTATATGTAATGTATTGGCCATTGTCTCACTGGGTATTCAAAGCAATCCTGAGAAGAGGAGAATCAAGGTTGAGATTAAATTCAGTGCATTGATAAAGAGACTGAGGCTCAGAGAGCTTGTGATTGGTCAAGGTCAGTAAGTGACAGTCAGGTCCTGAGCTTAAGTCCTCAGAGTTCAAGTCCAGTTCTTTTTCTGTTATAGGAATGCTATCTCCTATCGGGTGAGGTCTGATTAGGTGAAGGACACTTAGCCTAGCCCATAGCTAGGCCTGGCCGGGCGTGGTGGCTCCCGCCTATAAACCCGACACTTTGGGAGACCAAGGCAGGCGGATCGCCAGGTCAGGAGTTTGAGAACAGCGTAACCAACATGGTGGAACCCTGTTTCTACTAAAAATACCAAAATTAGCCAGGCATAGTGGTGGATGCCTGTAATCCCAGCTACTCGGGAGGCTGAGGCAGAAGAATCACTTGAACGTGGGAGGCAGAGGTTGCAGTAAACCAAGATCGCACCTTTGCACTCCAGCCTGGACAGAGCAAGACTCCATCTCTAAAAAAAAAAAGAGAGCCTCCATGTTAGTAGTCTCTTTCTGCCTCTCCTTCCTTGCTGCTGCCAGCAGTGACCACTGTGAGGTTCATAAGCAGTGTCCCATCCTCCAAGATGGCATGAGTAACTCCAAAGACATTCTTCTGGCTCCTGTCCTTAATGTGTGTGATAAGGGCTAACTATACTTAATATCTTTAGATCAGCATGTTGCTTTTCAAACACTGGGAAAAACTAATGCTCAGCTGTTATAAGAGAGCTACAGCCAGACCAGAAGCCTGACCTAACAGGAAACCCCACTCCAAAGCAATTTTTCCTTACTTGAGGCAGGGAATGGAGGTGATTAGATTTTTTAACAGAATTACTTCTATTCTTAATGATTAACTTGGTCTCTGCAGAAGACTATCCATTCTTGACTTGAAGAAATAATAGAGTCAGGGATTTGTCACATAAAAGTTTGAGTCATTCCTTGTTTATACTTCTTGCTGTTTCTGAAAAGACAACTTAGTTCTATTAAATGTTCATGTTCTTGTCTACTAAGCAGGAAAAAGAAAAAATAGCTCTAGAAAATGAACACTTAGCAAATAATTTAAAGTACACTCCTATGGGATACAGGAGCTATTGCTAGTTTTTTGTTGTTTTTATTTAAAAACAAAGTACTTACCAACCTACTGACTTTTCTGTTGCCCTCTTCCTTTCTGCAGACATTTGTTGAGCACCAGCTCTATGTGTGTAAAACCCTGTGTTTGGCATTGGGGATTTTGGGCTTTCAATCACTACACACCCCTAACTAGTCATTATACATGGTAGCAAGTTGTAAGTTCCATAAGAGAATGATAAATATGATCTTATAGGACTTTAAAGAAGGGAAAAGGCATATTGGGTTTGGAGAATGAAGTTTCCTTTGGCCTGATACAAGGCATAAGTAGCTTTTGTGGAAATGATACAGGCTATTCCAGAGGGAGAGAAGATTCTGAACAAAGGAAAGGGGACTAGATACCAGGGAGAACATGGAGTGTTCTCCATGAACACTCTGTGAAGGAATAGAGCTGGAAGTAAGGTAGGGGCCAGATGATGTGAACTTTGAATATTGTACTGAGAAACATTTCTAGGCAACCAGGAGCCATGTACATTTTTGAGCAAGGTTATCGTATGTATACTGTGGGGGAAAAATTAATCTGGCTACATGTACAGGATAACTTGGTATCCCTTTTGAGGGTTCTAATCCTGATTTTGCTATTGAATGGCTGTGTATGTAAGTCACATCCTCTCTGAAACACAATTTCCTCATCTGTTGAAACATTAGTAATACTTAGCACACAAGGTGTCTTTGAATATTAAATGAAATAACAAATTTGAGAACACCTTATAATAGTACCTGACACATAGAAGGAATGGATACCAAGTGCCTTAGCAACTAAAGTATACCTTACGTTCATGTTGTATGGAAATTTGTTTTTATTTCTGTAGATAGAGCTCTCATTCTCTTTTTGTCTTCTTTCTTAACCTGGTCAACTCTGATTTATCTTTCTACATCAGGTTCGGAAAGTCACCTCCCCCTTTATGAAGCCTCTATACATGGCCAGATTGAAAGAGTTCTTGGCTTTTGCTGTATTTTGTGTTTCGGTAGCAGTTTGTATGAACCTCTGTTGTAGCATCTCTTTTCTATTGTGAATTTTTAAAAGTATTTTTCTACACCAAAGTTTGATTCTGAAACTTTGATGTATATCACAGTGACCTGGAGGACTTACTACATCACAGAATTTCTGATTTAGTAGGTTTGGGGTGGGACCTGAGGTTTTTATTTCCAACAAGCTCCTAGATGAAGATGATGCTGGCTTGAGACCTCACTTTGAAGACCACTGGTCTACATAGACAAATTGTGAATTACATGAGATCTAAGACTGTATCTTTGTTTCCTGAGTACTTAAGGTCTGGTACTCAGTAGGTGCTCAGTTAATGAGAATGACTTTGGTTGCACAATGAATATACTCTGATTTCAGGTGGCCATTAAGCAGATGAATCTTCAGCAGCAGCCCAAGAAAGAGCTGATAATTAATGAGATCCTGGTCATGAGGGAAAACAAGAACCCAAACATCGTGAATTACTTGGACAGGTATGTAGTGGCGGGTCTTATCAGAGGGATAGGGCCTTTGGGACTGATTGGTAGTAAAGCTGCTAGAGAAGAGGCCAGTGTCAGCACTCAGAACTGCCTCCATTTAAGAGTCTTCTGTGATGCTGAGCTCTCTGAATTTGTCCCTGTGTAATGCTGGACACCTTTATTGCTAGAAAATCCTTCTGTGTTAGGCTGTGAACTCTACCATTATAAAGCTTCTAACGGTTGATCCTAGTACTGTTTGTTTTGCCTAAGGGAAACCTACCAGCCCATCTGCCTGAGTCAAACATCTAGGTCCTTAACTTATTTTACATCCCAAATCATTCCTTATTCTGCTCATCCTTCTGAATAACTCCTAGTTTGTTTATATTCTCTTAAAATGCTGTGCTCAAAACTAGATGTTTTATTTGAGATCTGACCACTATGGGGAGAGTAGAACTCTTTCTAAACTCAGCATAGCTTAATGATTTCGTTCTTGTTTGATCTTTTAGGGTGTCTGCTTACAGTCAACTAACATTTCTGATTTTTTTTTTTTACATAAACTTGCATTAAACTGGAAATGTAGAACTCTTCCACTATCTTCAATAAGTCCCATTTTTATTATTTAAGCCCATGATTCCAGCTCATCAAAATTGTGTTTTTCAAAATAGTAAAAGTGGTTGTAGATAATATTTGTATTGGGCTTTAGTTTGTACCAACCACTTTCATGAAATCTCATTGTGAGTTGTAGGGATTTTTATCCATATTTTACAGATGAGGAAACTTAGGTTTATAGATGTTAATAACTTGTCCAAGAGTAGTAAGCCAGAAAACAGCAAAGCAGGGTTTTGAATTTGGATATTCCTAGCACCACTATTAATGCCCTTTCTATTATATGTGTTGTTTTCTCCAATACCTGAAAAAAAAAAAAAAGTTAAGCTTCTTGCCCAGGGTTCAGAGACATCATAGGTGGAGGTAAAATTGTACTAAATCTTGGACTCTGATTTCTTTACCTCTTATACTGCATGACCAGCTACCTCTTCCTGTTACTGGTAGATTTCATAAGGGTGCCTTCTTGTTCTGCATCTAAAACACTGGTAAGCTTCAGTTTCCTTAAAGAAGAAAGGAGTTGAACTTTGATATTCCCAATAATGGAAAGAATAAAACCTTCTTTGAGATGTTCTGTCTCCTTAACATGGGTCCTGACTGGGTCTGAACAATCCTCTGAAAGTTAGTACCTTATCCTCTCTTTCAGAACTTATTAGACAGAGATATAGCTCTTGGAAACTACCGAAGGTGACAGGGGAATTAGGTTTTGGCTCAGGATATGGAAAAATGAAAGCCGTCAGTAAGAGTATGGCCTGACTCACATAATGGTGAGTTCTCTGTCAGTGGAGGCATCTACATGAGAAGACCATGTTATTGAATGAATTTGTATTCTGGGAGTAGGATTAAAAGACTTAAACAGATTTGTTTATTAATCATACCTTTACTGGTATTCCCAGAGGCTTTTACTCTGGAAATCAGAAGTAAATAATGCTGTCTTTGCCCTCAAATAGCTCCTGGTCTGGTATAGAAAAAAATACACCTCTGTAAGATCATAGAAGAAGTTGCCCTTCACCTGAGCATTCAGTGAAGGTGTTGCAAATGAGGGTCTGTGGTTTTTGTGAGATGTCCCAGAGGGGAACTTCATCGTATATGGATGAACTCCATCCATATGTGATGCTCAGGGGCTTTAGCTTTGAGATGGAATTTTTGAAAATATGCTGACACAGTGCGCAGCCATGAAGTGTTTGGGACAAACTGAATCTGGTCTGTATTGTCTTAGCTTTGACAATGACATATCAGGCCCAGGAAAAGGGGATCTGCTTTGTCAGTGGCTAGAGATAGTCACTTAGACCCTCATATTTCTTCCCCCACTCAGTTCAGGTTGATAGTTGTTTTTTCTGTGTGTGGGTAAGAAGCTGTAAATGTCCATTCTTTGTCAGGGAGGAAATAGGCTCATGCCTGTGGAGGACTTTTTATCCAATCCTGCATTGTCTTTTGGTTCATGTCTTAGTCCCAGGGTGCTAAAATTTCAGAGGCTGGGTAGCTTAAAAATCACACAAAGTTATTTCTCACAGTTCTGGAAGTTGGGAAGTCTAAGATCAAGATGCCAGAAGATTCAGGGTCTGGTGAGGGCCTGTTTTCCGGTTCCTAGATTTTGTCCTCCTGTGTACCCTACATGGTAGACAGGTCAAGACAGTTTTCTGTGGTCCCTTTTATAATGGCAGTAATTCTATTTATGAGGGCAGAACCCTCATGTTGTAATCACCTTCCAAAGGTCCCACCTCCTAATAACATTAATGATTAGATTTTCAACATATAAATTTTGAGGGGTACAAACATTCAAACCATAGAGTTCAAGTCCACATAGTCTTCTCTCTCAAAAGAGATTGTTGAAGAAAGACTTAGTCTGTCATGTTTATTTGTCATGGACATTAAAAAATTATAAATCAGAACAGTTTTATGGAACAAGCACCCGATTAGTAGTAAAAAAAAAAAAAAAAAAAAATAGGATTCAAATCTTACCCTTTGCTTGAATGCATTTGTTAAAACCTTCCTACAGTCTCCACATCTGTCCAGCAGTATTCCCAATATCAGGATGAAGATAAGATGATACCACACAGTTCAAGCCAATACAAGAAATGTCCAGCTTCTATGTCCAAGACTGGCAGAAGACTTTAAGGTTCTAGATTTGCCTTGTTTTTATTCGTCCGATTCTATAGTAAGGAAACATTGACCAGATAGGCTAAGTGACCTTTTTATTTATCATGTAATAGGGCTGAGTGATCCAACTCCTAAGCGAAACTATCAGTTCTAACCCATGTCAGTCCATAATCTCTCCAGGGATACTTTACTAAATGGTAGTCTTGGCTTATCAGAAGGCTTTGGCTCTGTAAGCCCTTGCTAAATTCATTCCATTCCTGAATCACAGACATTCAAAATAGAGGTCAATTATCAGCATAATGACTATGTATACAACACTTTGCAGCTTTTGAGGGACACTTATAAACATTATTTCATTTAATATTTACAGCTACCTTTTATTCATTGATTTATTTAGTAAATATTGGCATCTGCTGGGCTGGACTCTGGGGATAGAGTTTTGAACAAGACTCAATATTTGGCCTCATAGATCTCAGATCTGGTAGGACTCTCTGGGAGGTTTAGTAGCTCTCTCTTCTTTGGGTAACATGGACTCTAAATCCCATCTTTGTCCAATGTCTCGATGCTTCTAGAGGTATGGGAATCATGTCAGTCTTTCTAATTTTAGGATGTCTTCCTTTGTGTTGTGATGAAATATAATTTTATTATATCATTTTAAGTTAGTGATCTTCGTTCTGCCCTTTGGGGCTTCACAGAACATGTATGCTTGGTTTTCTCCAGGAGCATCCTTGAGAGATTTGAAGTTAGTGATTTTGTCCCCTAGATTCTGCTTTTCCCTGAAGTAAAGAACCTTTTACTTTACTTTGTGCTAGGATGTAATTTTACTCTGTATATATACTTAACCTTTGAAATGCAGTGCTGTGGCTCAGTGTGCTCTGATTTTTCCTTCTCACCCTTTATCTGTATTCCTGCAGTTACCTTGTGGGAGATGAGCTGTGGGTTGTTATGGAATACTTGGCTGGAGGTTCCTTGACAGACGTGGTTACAGAAACCTGCATGGATGAAGGCCAGATTGCAGCTGTGTGCCGTGAGGTAAGGCCAAGGGCCAAGCTGTCTTGGGTAGAAAGCTGCCTCCGTATTCCTGTCTCCTGAAGTTCCCTATCCAGTGAGATCTCACTGGGCTCTGTGGAAGTGGTAGAAATTAGTGCTGACAAGCCTATCATTCCTGTATTGTACCTGTGTTTTATTATTTCTATAACCATGGTTTTTTCCTTTAAGTTAACTTTATTCTACCCATTGTAGAAAAAAGAAAGTATATATTTTTAAATGTTACTCGTAATTCCAATCTTAAAGATAACCACTCTAAGCACATTATAATATATTCCTTTATCTCTATTATATGGGCATATATTGTAATCATTTTTATTCTGCTTTCTTGCTTTATTTATGTGCTATGAAGAAAATAAAGCAGAGTAAGAAGGTAGTGATGGAGGAAGTACTATTTTAGACAGGATTGTCAGGGAAGGTTTTCTATAGACCTGAGTAAACATCTGAATGATATATAAAAAGCAAGGCAGCAAAAATCTAGGGTAAAATACTTGCAGGAAAATAAAAAAAGAAAACAAAGCTCAAATAGATACTCCCCTTTCTCCTCATTGCTATTAAATGTCTAGAATCAATAATACACATGTAAGCGGACAAAAAAGCCTTCCAGAAGGCCTTCATGAGAAGCAGTATCCTCGGGGAATAACGACATTTCATTTCCATTAGAGCAAAAAGATGAAGGGAATATTCAGACACATTGAGGATATTGGGTGTTTTGCTGATGACAGACTAGAACATTCTGCTGGCCCAATAATGCAAAAGTAATTGTAGTTTTTGCGATTACTTAAAGAAACAAAAAAGCCAAAAACCACAATTGCTTTTGCCCCAACCTAATAGAAAAGTTAGGAAATTGGGGAAAGCATAGAAGATGAGATGAGGCTCAGAATTTTGTGGGGATGAGTATAATAGTGTGATTGGGGTTTGATGGCATAAGGTCTGAAGGCATACTGCTGAAATTATGTAGTTGTATATTTAATCAGTGTTAAGAAGAATAAAATGTGAAACCAATACTACCCTAGAAAATATGGTCACTTTTGCACACAACTTTAGGATCTAGAATGTTCACAAGTAATTGGAATTAATTAATGGAATTAATACCAGGCTGAGATTCTTAGGGGTTCTGACTTTTTTTCCTTTGTTCCACTACTAATGCAGTATTTCTTAACCTTCTTTTCATTATCTCCTTCTTAAGGAGCCTTTTTCCTAATCATGCTCCCTGCCATTAAATTTTAATATCACAGATACATAGTTCAGCTGTACATACTATGGCCCTTTGGAGGGTCACAGACCATTGTAATACCTAAGATTTTTTTCACCCCCACCCCCTCACCCTCAGGAACCAAGTTTCACTGGTGGAAAATACATGTATATGTATACTTTGGGACATCATTTTGCCTCAAATTATTAATCTGTTAAATGGAAATTGCAGCATTCACACTGTATAAACCTTAGGGTGCTATATGGATCAAAAAGCACTTGGAAAAAAATTTTAATATTGTATAATATATGGTATTGCTATTCTTCAGTTCTAATAGAGATTATCTCCTCCTTTTTAAAACGTCTTTATTGAGATATAATTCACCCATTTAAATGGTTTTTAGTATATTCATAGAGTTCTACAACCACCATCATAATGAATTTTAGATCCTTTTTATCACCCCAAAGAGGAAATTAATATCTGTTAACAGCCACTCTCCCTGTCCCCTGCCCTGACTCTCCCAGCCCTATGCAACCACTAATCTATTTTCTATCTCTGTAGTTTCCCTGTACTGGACATTTTATATAAATGGAATCATGTAATATTTGCTCTTTTGTAATTGTCTTCTTTGACTTAGCTAGGGTTATGTTTCAAAGATTCATCTGTTTTGTAGCATGTATCAATACCTCATTCCTTTTTATTGCCAAGTAATAGAATGGACATTTGGGTTGTTTCCATTTTCAGCTGTTATAAAAAATTATGCTGTGAACACTCACATACCAGTTTTTGTCTGGAGGCACGTTCTCATTCTTTCGGGTATATTCTTACAGGTGGATTGCTGGTCATATGGCAACTCCATACTCAACTATTGAGGAACTGCCAAACTGTTTCTGTAGTAGCTGTTTTACATTCCTGCCAGCAATGTATGAGAGTTCCAATTTCTCAAGATCATCCTTTTTGGTCATAATTTCTGATGTCCTGAGACCTGGGTCTCCAACCTTCTAGGAAGAGCACCTCTTACATTTTTAGGGAAAACTCAATTCTGGATATTGGTTTATTCTTAATTTAGCTATTGGTATATTTTTAGAAAGTAAAGTATTAGGTTAGGACCATTTAAATAGTATTTTCCTGTTCGCTTATATCTTTAGTGATTTTTAATTGGTAGCAGTTTCTTAAAAATTAGCTTTGGGTCAGTGAACTCAAATTATTGATTTAGTAGAAAAGCCGTGATGATCTCATCTGATTCCCACATGTTATAGATGGGAGAACAGAAGAGTGAGTTGTCCAGAATTATATAGCCAGTGAGGTGGTAGCAGAACCAGGCATTTTAATTGTACCATTTTGTCTCTTTGTTACTCATTCTGCCTTCTAGGTGTAGATGTTTTCCAAGGCTCTTCTCTTTCTCCTATACCCTTTGCCAGATTCAACCTTTCCTATAACTTATATAAAAATCACCTCTTCCCAAATGACTTGTAAATATTTACCTCTGCATGGAACCTAAGATTCATAAATTCAGTTGCCTACTTTGTCTTCAGATGTCAAATTCAGCATATCCAAAATAGTACAACATATCTCCTCACCAAAATAAGATTATGCTGCAAACTTACTGCTTCTAGTATCACTTCCATATGTCTGCTTCCTCAAATATGACCCTTATTTGTTGTTTTTCTCCAGTCAGTCATTATCAGATCCTTTCCATTTTTTTCAGTAATTTCTCTTGGACCTTAGGTTCTTTATCAAGGATTTAATTTAAAAAAACGAAAACAAAAACAAAATACATTGGAGGAACTCTTTTATTTAAGAAAACTATTTTAAGGTGAAAGGCAGCATGAAGTGTTAAAAGAATGTTTAGCTAGGAGATGGAAGACTTGGTTCTAGGTCTGGCTCTGTGACTGATTTGGGGCAAGTCCTTTTACTCATTGGGGCCTTACTTCCTTTATTTTAAAGTGAAGAGGTTGAATTAGTTCATTTTCTATTAAGTTTTCTGTATTATATGTATGTCCTTTCTTTCTCCCCCTCCCCACACCACTTCAATAGTGTCTGCAGGCTCTGGAGTTTTTGCATTCAAACCAGGTCATTCACAGAGACATCAAGAGCGACAATATTCTGTTGGGAATGGATGGCTCTGTCAAGCTAAGTAAGTAGGAGCCTTAGGAACGATAATGCTTCTCTCCCTGTGGGGCCCTGTCTCATGTGAAATGGTAATCATATAATAGTAACTACAACACTCACCAAAGGGTCTTTATTATTTCATGGGATATGAGGGCTGTTTTATATTCTTCTGTATAAATCATAGGATATCACTTCATTATTTTTTTGTTCATTTATACATTAAACAAAACCACAAAAAACTTTGCTAAATGCTTACTCTGTGCTAGGTCCTATGATGGGCACTGAGGGTACATTTTCCCCACCTTTAAGTTCTCAATCTAGTGTGGAAAACAGGTAATAGATAATTAGAAAAAAGAGTTTTGTGTAATTTCTTTCATTCAATTATTCAGCAAACTTTTATTGAATGTCTAGTACATGCTGGCCCTTCTAGGGATATGAGGACAAGTAAGAAGACATAATCTGTACTATCAAAATCTTCCTAATTTAAATAAATTTATAATTGCAATATAATATAAAAACCACTGCAAGTAGAACATTTTGTTCAAAGGTGTAAAGACCATTAGTCCAGACAAACAGGCTGTGTCATGGGTGGTTGGGCAGTTTATGGAAGGACAACTAGCAGTCCTGCCTGGGTCTGGGGCATAAAAGCAGGGCCATGCCTAGTCATAGGTGATTGGGGTTTAAATCAAGGACTCATGCCCAAAGAATAAGGCAAGGACCTAGTTGCCAGATTTGGGAATATGAGAATGGTTTTCAAGAACAAAGCAGAATTTGGACAAGCAATCCAAGACCAAAATAGGCAGCTTGAACTTTAAGTCCTTTGGTTTGAGGAGGGGTAGGAGGCCAGAGATGGTGTTTCTTATATTCCTCCTATTTCTCTTCAGGATTCAATAGGAAATAAGCTAGGAGCTAGACTTGAAGACTTTGGAGACTTTTGGACAAAAGATAGGAGAGCTGGGAGCCAGGCACAGCTTGTCATCTAAGTCTATACACACACAGTCAACACTTACTGAAGTGAGTGTATATCCTAACTGTATATTATTTCTCTTATTTTTCTTTTCTAGCTGATTTTGGATTCTGTGCACAGATAACCCCAGAGCAGAGCAAACGGAGCACCATGGTAGGAACCCCATACTGGATGGCACCAGAGGTTGTGACACGAAAGGCCTATGGGCCCAAGGTTGACATCTGGTCCCTGGGCATCATGGCCATTGAAATGATTGAAGGGGAGCCTCCATACCTCAATGAAAACCCCCTGAGAGTGAGTATTACCAGTCCTATTTCAAGTTATTTGGGCTATTGTCTCTAGTCCCAGGAAATAGGAATCCAGGCTGTTCTCTGTGGCTTTCAACCTGGAGATCCCTTTTCTGGATACAACTAGTCACGGTTAAGCTTAAAGTATAAATGCTCAGGCCAGGCATGGTGGCTTTTGCCTGCAATGCCAGCACTTTGGGAGGCCAAGGTGGGTGGATCACAAAGTCAGGAGTTTGAGACCAGCCTGGCCAATATATTGAAACTCCATCTCTACTAAAAAGACAAAAAAATTAGCTGGGCATGATGGTGGGTGCCTGTAATCTCAGCTGTTTGGGAGGGTGAGGCAGGAGAATTGCTTGAACCCAGGAGGTGGAGGTTGCATGCAGTGAGCCGAGATTGCACCACTGCACTCCAGCCTGGGTGACAGTGCGAGACTTCATCTCAAAAAAAAGTGTAAGTGTTCAAAGAAAAGGAATATTAGAAGTTACTCATTCATTTATTCAACAATTATTTGAGTCCCTATCAAGTGTAAGAAACTATTCTGATTATAATAAATTAATATATAGTAACAGATGGTAAGTGCTGTGAGAAAAAGCAAAGTAAGGGAGTTAAGAGAGTAATGGAGGAAGAGGTGTGCTATTTTAGAGTAGAGAGGGAAGTTTTCTCTCATAAGTTATTTTATTTTGCAGAGTTGGGAAGTCATTTGAAGGTTTTGAGCTGAGGAGTAATATGATCTGATTTATGTTTTAAACAGATCATTTTGGCTGCTTTTATGGAAAATAGACTGCAAGAGACTATTGTAATAGTTCATATAAGAGTGATGGTGTCTTGGACTGTACTGGTAGGAGTGGAAGTGAGAAGTGGTCAGACTCAGGAAATGTCTTCAAGGAGTAGCTGACAAGATGAACTGAATATTAGGGAAAGAGGAATCAGCAACAACTGCAAGGTTTTTTGTCTGAACTGCTGAAGAAATTCAGTTGCCATCTGTTGAAATGGTGAAGAGCATACTTAAGTGGGGTAATAAAGAGTTGGTTTTGAATGTGTTGATTTGAAATGTTAATTAGACATTTAAGTGGAGCTGGGAGTAGAGTTTGGCTTATGAGTCTGGAGTTCAAAGGTGAGGGGTCAGGACTGTAAACATAAATTTATGAGTAGATAATATATAGTTGGCATTTAAAATCCAAGGTAGATGAGATTACTCACCTAGAGAGTGAGTACAGTTAAAGAGATTTGAGTACTGAGCTCTAGGTTACTCTACTGTTTGCAAGTTAGAGGGAATAGGAAGGTAGACCAAGGAGTGGCCTTTCTAGTGTAAGAGAACAGAGAAGTGTCCTGGAGGTGAAATGTCCTGGAGATGAAAAGAACAGTGCTTCCCAAAGAAGGAGGAGGGTAGATTATGTGTCAAGTGTGATTGATAGGTTGAATAAGATGAGACAGAGAAATGAACATTGTTTTGCCAATGTAGAGGTTCTTAATGACCTTGACAATCAGTTATCAGTAGAATACTGGGGATGAAAGTCTAATTAAATTAATGAAAGTGAAAGAAGAGGACATTGAGAAGGCATGTATAAACAGGCGTCTTTTCTTTTAAAGGAATTTTGCTGGGAAGGGTAACAAAAATGGGGCACTGTCTTAAAATGGAGTCAAGGGAGGGTTTTCTAAAAGATGATGTCTATGTTCTAATGGGAATGATTTGGTGAAGAGGAGGAAAATGGTCGTGTACAAGAAGGAAGTGACAAGTATAGAAGCGGTGTCCTTAAGTCAGAGAGAGGGGTTTGATCAAGTACTGAAGTAGAGGACATTAGATGAGCATGGACAATTTATCCATTGTAACAGAGCATATCAACACAGATGTAAATAGGTTGGTAGTCTTGGTGTAGGCAAATGTGAAATTTATTCTGATTGCTTTTATTTTCTCATTTATTCCCACCTCCCATCCAGTGCAGGAATTCCCTATGCACTGTTGCTGGTAGGTGGTCATCTACATGCTCATGTCATCCTTGGATACCTCTGATTATTGGAAATTGCCTCAGTGCACAAAACTGAACCTACATTCTGTAGTTTCTACCCTTTGGTCCCAGCTTTGTCTCTGACTCCACATACAACATATTCTTCTCTGCCTTAGAATGGCCTTGGAGAGATTTGAAGATGATGATTGCTGAGGTATGTTAGAAATAAGACAGAGTGATCTTAGACACTTTTTTTTTTTGAGACAGAGTCTCGCTCTGTTGTCTATGCTGGACTGCCGTGGCATGATCTCAGCTCACTGCAACCTCCGCCTCCTGGGTTCAAGCAGTTCTCCTGCCTCAGCCTCCTAAGTAGCTGGGATTACAGGCGCGTGCCACCATGCCTGGCTAATTTTCATAGTTTTGGTAGAGATGGGGTTTCGCCACATTGGTCAGGCTCGTCTTGATGGTCTCAAACTCCTGACCTCAGGTGATCCACCCACCTTGGCCTCAAAGTGCTGGGATTACAGGTGTGAGCCACCATGCCTGGCCCTAGACATATCTTTTTATGTTTCTGAACCTTATCTATGAAGTAAGGATGATAATTCTTGCCCTATTACTCAGAGTTAATTGTAGCCATTAAAGTAGACAGTGCTTATATCAGTACTTTGTGAATTAAGTGCTGAGTGCTTGTAAAGATTTAGTCTTACTACGTTTTTCTTTACCTTTCCCAGGAGATGCTTCATATTAAGGGACCAGGGTAGCAACAGTTTTTACTTACATTTAATATTCCTCTCCTGCTAGAAGAGATCAGTTCTTGGATGACTGAGATGAATGCACCAGGAATAATTTCTGCCAGCAGCTGGGCAGATGTTTAACTCAACAGGCTAAATGGATAATAAACCCTTCAAATGTGTAAGCAAGAATAATAACAAGGCCGGACACAGTGGCTCACGCCTGTAATCCTAGCAACTTTGGGAGGTTGAGGCGGGTGGATCACTTGAGTCCAGAAGTTCGAGACCAGCCTGGCCAACATGGTGAAACCCCATCTCTACTAAAAAATACAGAAGTTAGCTGGGCATGGCAACAGCCACCTATAATCCCAGCTACTTGGGAGGCTGAGGCAGGGAGAATTACTTGAACCCAGGAGGCGGAGATTGCAGTGAGCCAAGATTGTGCCACTGCACTCCAGCCTGGGCGATAGGGTAAGACTCTGGTCTCAAAAAAAAAAAGTATAATAATAAACCCTTAGGTCTGTAACATTTCATAAGTTTACAAAGTACTTTTAAGTACACTATCTTATTTTTACAGACATGAGATGGGCATTATCATCATCCCTACTTTACAGACAGGAAAGTTGGAAGTTCAATGGCTTGCACATAGTCTCATGGCCTTCAAATGTTAAAACTGATCCTTAGGTCATACTCTTTCAAGTATGCATGCACAGCTGCTGCTTTGCATCCTAGAGCATAAAGCAGCTGACTCTATTTCTAGAATGTGTATAGGGGGAACAAGAGAGAACCTCAGTTGGAGCTCAAAGTGATTTACCATCTTTATTGCCAGGCCTTGTACCTCATTGCCACCAATGGGACCCCAGAACTTCAGAATCCAGAGAAGCTGTCAGCTATCTTCCGGGACTTTCTGAACCGCTGTCTTGAGATGGATGTGGAGAAGAGAGGTTCAGCTAAAGAGCTGCTGCAGGTAACTGTCCCTACGCAGGGAAGCACCAAATTTAAGGAATCACTAAACCAAGCCTTTTTTACTTCATATTTGTCTGTAAGGTACTGGATATTATAGAACTAGGCTTCTCTTCTACCACTTCCCACACTCACTCTGTTCCTACTGCCCTAACTTTTATCCCTGGGCCTTTGCTTATACTATTTTCTTAGCCTCTTCCTGTACACGTTCTCCTAGGCTCAGTTTACAATCTACTTTCTGAGCACCGATTGAGCTTTCCATATAGCTTTCTTGCTTGCTTCCTTTCTTCCTTCCTTTCCTTTCTTTTCTTTCTCTTTCCTTTTCTTCCCTTTCTCCTTTCTTTTCTTTTATTCCTTTTCTCCTCTCCCTCTCCCTCTCCTCCCTTTGTTTTCCTTTTTTTTTTATTTCTCCATAGGGTCTTAACTCTCTCACCCAGGCTGGAGTGTGCAATGACGTGATCTTGGCTCACTGCAGTCTTCCTCTCCTGGGCTCACTTAAGTGATCTTCCCACCTCAGCCTCCCAAGTAGCTGGGACTATAGGTACACACCACCATGCCTGGCTAATTTTTTAAAAAACTTCTTTGTAGAGGCAGGGGTTTCTATGTTGGCCAGGCTGGTCACAAATTCCTGGGTTCAAGCGACCGGCCCACCTTGGCTTTACTAAGTGCTGGAACTACAAGCATGAGCCACTATGCCCAGCCTGTTTGTATTTTTCATTAGCACTTCCTGTGTTCTGTTTGAATTAGCCTGGCAGTTTGTTTCAGTCTTGGTGAGAAACAGCTCTCTAACAACCAAATCCTACGCAAGTTGTATTTTGCTGGGATTGGCTCAAAGGACACATTTTTAGCAAAGGAACATAAGTTTTATTTTTTTGAGACAGGGTCTCTCTCTGTTGCCCAGGCTGGAGTGCAGTGGTGCAATCATGGCTCACTGCAGCCTCAACCTCTCCAGGTTCTGCTGATCCTCTCACCTCAGCCTCCAGAGTAGCTGGGACTGTAGACATGAACCACCATGCCTGCCTAATTTTTCTATTTTTTTATAGAGACAGGGTTTTGCCATGTTGCCCAGGCTAGGCTCAACGAACTGCCCACCACAGCCTCCCAAAGTGCTGGAATTACAGGCATGGCATGAGCAACCACGCCCATCCATGGAACATAAGTTTAGAAGATAATTAGTGAATGTGGCTTTTGGAGTCTTTACACTTTCTTCATTGGAAATCCTCAGATGATGGCATTGATACTCTACTTGTTGAGTAAGATTTTGCCAGTTTGTGGGGAAACTCGGAGTCAGGGATTTACCAGGCCTTTTATTCTCCTACCTGCCTAAACCTGATAATTTTATGTGGTTGCAAAAATTGCCTTTGGCAGGCCACATCATTTGTATTTAACATGTATGTTTCAAGTATAATTTCTTATAACTGGAGTTCTTTTATTGTATTGCCCACTGGTGATTTAATAGTAAGTATCATATGCAACTTTATGAAGGCATGCACTGTCATTTACTTTTATATTATGAAGCCCAGGAGTGACAGAGCAGGGCAGGGCAGGACCTAGTATATTGCCCTGTGTTAAAGTTAATTATGAGTCTCTTTCCTACTGGATTATAACTTCTATTTTATTAATCCCTCAGTCTCATGTTTTACCTAGGACCTGACTCAGGATAGGTACTCAGAAAATATTTATTGTGAATGGAATTGCTGGAAGAACCTACACTGGAATATCACCTGTAACATATTTAGCATCTCTTTGTAATTGAGGTTACTGATTATGGAGCATTGGCCTATTAGATAAGGGATCTGGATTCTGCCAAGTGTAACCCATTAGTCTCTAGTATCTGTTGAGACTACAAGTCTCTTAGTACAATGTAGGACCCCTCTTTCTGTTCATAAGAGTTGCATTCTGGAAATTGTAGGCACTGGAAAATGTGTAAATACTATATGCTAAGCCTGTGATTAGTAGACATGCCATTGTTAATTAAGTACCAAATTATAGTTCTTGAAAAGTTCGTGCCCTCTAAAGTTTTCTTCCTGATATGGCAATATAAATAGTAATAAATGCATGATATTGAGTCTTTATTTTAGGCACTAAACACTTTATATATTTAGGCACTAAGCACTTTATATATTAGCTTTCAAAACAACTCTGTGAGTTGTAGGTTCTGTTATTCTCTCTTTTTTTTTTTTTTTTTTTTGAGATGGAGTCTTGCTCTGTCTTCCAGGCTGGAGTGCAATGCCACAATCTCGGCTCACTGCAACCTCCACCTCCCAGGTTCAAGCGATTCTCCTGCCTCAGCCTCCCAAGTAGCTGGGATTACAGGCTTGCACCACCACACTCAGCTAATTTTTGTATTTTTAGTAGAGATGAGGTTTCACCATGTTGGCCAGGCTGGTCATGTACTCCTGACCTCATGATCCACCTACTTGGCCTCCCAGAGTGCTGGGATTACAGGCATGAGCCAGTGCACCCAGCCAGTTATTCTTTTTTTTTTTTTTTTTTTTTTTTGAGACAGAGTCCCGCTCTGTTGCCCAGGCTGGAGTGCAATGCTGCAATCTTGGCTCACTGCAACCTCCACCTCCTGGGTTCAAGCGATTCTCCTGATGCAGTTTCCCCAGTAGCTGGGATTACAGGTGCCTGCCACAACACCCAGGTAATTTTGTATTTTTAGTAAAGACAGGGTTTCACCACGCTGGCCAGGCTGGTCTTGAACTCCCGACCTCAGGTGATCTGCCTGCCTCAACCTCCTAAAGTGCTGGGATTACAGGCTTGAGCCACTGCACCGGCAGTTATTGTCATTTTTACAGATGAGGAAACCGAGGTTTCAAGTGTTGAGTAACTTTTCCATGATAGCTGATAAGTAGTAGATTCAGGATTTCAGCCTGTTTGGCTCTCAATTGTGTATGCCCTTGGCCACTGCTCTTATAGGCTCAAAGAGCATCACAACTAGAAAGCCCTCAGGGCTCATCTAGTCTGTTTTGTTTATTAGACAGAGAAGGAAACTGAGGCCTCCCAGTTCAGTGTTGGATCATGCTGCTCTCAACTTAGGGGAATTGTAGAAACATGTGATCTGAGAAAGCTGGCATTTTAACTTATGGGTGTACATTGTAAATTTTCAAAACCATGACTTTCAGAATCTTAAATCATAAAGGCTTCATATTTGTTTCTCCTGTGAGAACACACTTATGAACAGAAATGCATAAGATGATATATATTTGAATTCATATCTTCACAATTTAGCTAGGATCTTTTATTCATTTCATAGTAACTTCTTGTTCTCAGTAGCTCTTTATACTATCTCTGTCCCAACAGAAGTTGAAACAATTCTCAGCAAAGAATATTAGTATCTACGTTTCTCTCTCTCTCTCTCTCTCTCTCTCTCTCTCTCTCTCTCTCTGTGTGTGTGTGTGTGTGTGTGTGTGTGCGCGCGTGCGTGCGTGCGTGGTGTGTGTGTGTGTGTACATATACAATATGACTAATCAAGGGAATTATAAGTATGGCAGAAGAATCAGATATCCTCATCATTTGAGTTGAGTTTACATGTCAGATTTGGCTCTCAGTTTCCTGGTAGCCAGGGCAGAAAAGTAAAGGAAATAATGTGATAGTTCTCACTCTGTCACCCAGGCTGGAGTGCAGTGGCGTAATCTTGGCTAACTCCAATTTCCGTCTCCTGGGTTTAAGCAGTTCTCTGCCTCATCTTCCCAAGTAGCTGGGATTACAGGCACCTGCCACCACACCCGCCTAATTTTTTTTTTATTATTTTCATTTTTAGTAGAGATAGGGTTTCACCATCTTGGCCAGACTGATCTTGAACTCCTGACCTCGTGATCCACCTGCCTGTGGCTCCCAAAGTGCTGGGATTACAGGTGTGAGCCAGTGAACCAGCTTGGTTCCTATATTTTGTATCAAATACAAGAATCGTCCTACATGTTTAAGACACAAAGCTTTTTTACTACGTTTTTTTGTTTTTTTTTTTTAAAGCACCAGTTTTGGATAAGAGGCTCTGAGAATTACATAAGGAATTGTTAGGCTGGGCACAGTGGCTCATGCCTGTAATCCCAGCACTTTGGGAGGCTGAAGCGGGTGGATCACTTGAGGTCTGGAGTTCAAGACCAGCCTGGCCAACATGGCAAAACCCGTCTCTACTAAAAATACAAATATTAGCTGGGCATGGTGGTCGGTGCCTATAATCCCAGCTACTCAGGAGGTTGAGGCAGGAGAATTGCTTGAACCCGGGAGGTGGAAGTTGCAGTGAGCCGAGATCGCACCACTGCACTCCAGCCTGAGCACCAGAGCAACACACCATCTCAAAAAAAAAAAAATAAATAAAAAGGAATTGCTTTTTTGTAATAGCTTTACTGAAAATGTAGATACAATTTTCATATTTTCATATAATATTTTCTTCTAAAATAGTCTTTAAAGGTTGTAGGTATGGCCCAAAGTACAGTCCAGTGAAAGTGTTTGGGAAAGGACCAAGCTACTGAAATTTTTACTAAATGAATTAGCATTATTGGATTTGAGGATAGAACAATAAATTCCTAGATGAGTGCTCCTAAAATGCAGTATTGCAATATACTACTGGGTCATGATCAATTAATACCTTCCCCAAAGGTAATTATTATTCTGATTATCACCATAATTTAGGCTTACCTAGGAAGAAATGGAATAATGCAATATGAACTCGCTTATATCTGGCTTCTTTCCCTTAACATGTCTATGAGATTCATCCCATTGTCAGTGTACCAATTGCTTATTTTATTGCTGTGTAATTTTTTGTATAGTATTATATGAATATGACACTATTCATTTTTCCATTCTCTTGGACATTTGAGTTTTTTCTGGTTATAATCTTCTATGAACATTTCTGCTTGTTATCTTTTGGTGGATATACAAACTCATTTCTCTTAGGAATATACCTACGATTGGAATTGCTAGGGTATAGGGTAGATGTATGTTTACCTGTAAGTAGGTGCTGCCAAACAGTTTTCCAAAGTCGTCTGTTTTAAAGATGTCCTTCAATTTGGGGATGATCGGAAGCTCTCCACATAGCACCTTGTACAAACAAGGATGCCCTTATGTCTTGTAATGGTTACTAGGGAAGAATGGTAAATAGTCACGTGTCTTGTGCCGTTTTTCTTCTTTCTAGCATCAATTCCTGAAGATTGCCAAGCCCCTCTCCAGCCTCACTCCACTGATAGCTGCAGCAAAGGAGGCAACAAAGAACAATCACTAAAACCACATTCACCCCAGCCTCATTGTGCCAAGCCTCCTGTGAAATAAATGCTCATTTCAGAAATTCCAACTCCTGATGCCCTCTTCTCCTTGCCTTGCTTCTCCTATTTCATGATCTAGCGCTCTGAAGACTTTGATCCTTGGAAACCATGTGTCCAGCATTGAAGAAAACTGCAACTGAATGACTAATCAGATGATGGCCATTTCTAAATAAGGAATTTCCTCCCAATTCATGGATATGAGGATGGTTTATGATCAAGGGTTTATATGAATAAATGTTTCTAGTCTTACTTCCATATGGCAAAATCCTCACCTCCTTCATAACCACCCCCACAATTAGTTCTTGACTATATAAATTTATGGTTTGATAATATTATCAATTTGTAATCAGTTGAGATTTCTTTATTGCTTGTTTTTCTGTGACTGAACTGCCCAAACACTTCATTGTACTTGAAAACTGGAACAGCTTGGGAATGCCATGGGGTTTGATAATCTGCCAGGGACATGAAGAGGCTCAGCTTCCTGGACCATGACTTTGGCGCAGCTGATCCTGACATGGGAGAATAACCACATTTTTCTTTGTATGTGCTTCTAGCAGCTGTTTGGGAGGACCTTGACCCAATAGTGTTCTCATGCTGTTTCTTGTGAAATGCTCTTGGCTATGTAGCACCTTTTGATTCCCTCCATACCCTAGGCTGCTGCCCCCATCCTGTCCCTTGTTTATAACATTGAGAGGTTTCCTAGGGCACATATTGAGTGAGCAGTGTGAGAAGTCAGGGGGAAAACAGTAACTACTTTTAGAGCAAGGCTGGGCATTAGCACCTGTCCAGCTCTACTTGTGTGATGTTTCAGAAACTCAGAATTTTTTCTATCTGGGATAAGGAGCAGAAAGATTAACTTGGATCTTCTAATGGTCCAAATCTTTTGGTCACAGGAGAGAATCTCCAAATTAGAGACTACATGTTAGTTCTGGATGGATTTGGTGGACTGACATGATACCCTGCCAGCTGTGAGGGGACCCTGTTTTTAAGATGCATGGCCAACCTCTCTGCAAATGGAAATGCTTACACTGGGTGTTGGGGATGTTTGCTACCTCCTGCTATCTTTGTGGTTTTGGTTCTCCCACTGTGGTAGGACCCCCGGCCAGCATTGTGGCTTGTCATGTCAGCCCCATTGACTACCTTGTCATGCTCTGAGGTACTACTGCCTCTGCAGCACAAATTTCTATTTCCTTCAATAAAAGGAGATGAAAATATTCTACTTGGAGTATGCATTTCTTTCTTCTCTTTGTTCTTTCTTTCCTTTTCTAATTTTTTATCTGAAATAATGAATAGTTTCTTCCTGAACCATTGAGAGTGGTAAGTTACAAATAGGATGCCCCTTTACTACTACATACTTGAACGTGTATTCTTTTTAACACTTTTATTTTAAATATAAATTAAGAGAAATGGTACAAAACCATTTGTATTGTTTAAATATAAACACATATGTATCCACCAAATCAAGAAATAGAACACTGACAGTAAGAACCTTCTCCATCTTGTCCTTCCCTTTCTAATTATAGCCCCACCCAAGAGATAACCACTGTCTTGACTTTTATTGAAATATCTTTCTTGCTTTTCTCTATACTTTTATTATATTCAGGTGTGTTCCAATACAAGTAAAGTTTAGTTCTGTCAGTTTTTGAATTTTAAATAAACATATCATAATAGATATGTTCTTTTGTGCTTATTTTTTTCCACTCGAGATTGTTTTTAAGATGTATGTACCTAGTTTGTGTGTAGCTCTAGTTCACACTAGTTTATTAATTTATTATTGTGGTTGTAAGTGCTTGAGAGGAAAGTTTTAACTTGTCCAAGATGAATTCCCTGAGGACTGGCCTCCCAAAGGAGTTGGCTTTCTGTACAGCTCTATCATAATGGACTACAGCCAACTGCTCAAGGTAGTCATACCCGGTAGAATTCTCAGGTGGCTAATCAGGCTATGGGTCTATCACATCCTACAGCTACAACAGTAAGGCTTGAACCCCAGCTCTTATCACACCAGAGAAAATGCTTCTCAAAGATGGCACAGTGGAGCTAGAGGCCAGTGTTGTGTTGTGTGGTTTTACTTTTGGATCCCAGCACTTAATCATAACTGGAGAAGACATTGTGCTTCCTAGGTATGCTAAATATAATCCCCATGGCTCAATGCCTGGAGTCCTTCTCAGGAGTATGATATCTGGGCCCTACTACATTTCTTTGCCCCAGAAGGTGATGGACATTAGAGTTTCCACACTGTGGTTAATGTTCCTGTAATCACACGTTTCCACGAATAAAGCAGGCTTCAAGGCCTGGAGTGTATATTGCTTCATCAGCTGCCCTCGTCTACTTGATAATGGCAGCAGTAACTGGGTATTGGAATTGTGGGTCACTGACTGGTTGCAGGAACAAAGCCTGCCAAGCCAAGGAATTTAAGAGTTATATTCCTGAGAATGGAGATCTAGGGTTGCGGGATGTCACCCAGGACGCAATTCCAAGGTTGTTTTTAAGAACCTCAGAGTCACCTATGAGAAGAGTTCCACTGCAGGAAAGGCTGAACTACTAGCTCCTCTGATGAAGTTCCTGAGAATCTTAGATTCACTGTGAACAAGAGACTTGAGATAGAAGTTAGTGATGATCTCTTCAGGGACAGAATTCTGTGGTTACTAATGACCTTGGAGGAAGCTGTCTCCCAGGAGGGGTTTATTGAGAGTAAGGCTAGATCAGTACTATATGAGTTTAATGTGTGGAATGTGTCCCCTGGTGACATGCCCCCTTGTGTAAAGAATGGCATATGACCTTACCTGAGCAGAACCAATCAAATCGGACCCTTCCCTGATGTTCCTCCTTTGGCTGTGAGTGAGGAGCAGGAGCAGCTTGAGATGTCACAGAGTTACTAAGGTATTGCTCTTTCCTATAGAGCAAAGACTGGGAAGGCCTAAAGAGGGGGTCTATGTGAGATACAAGAAAGAGATTTAGTACAGTAGTCCCCACTTATCTGCTGCATCACTTTCCATGGTTTCAGTAACAAGAAGATATTTTGAGAGAGACCACATTCACATAAGTTTTATTATATTGTTATAACTGTTCTATATTATTATTGTTAATCTCTTACTATGCCTAATATGTTAAGCTTTATTATAGGTCTGTATGTATAGGTAAAAAACATAGTATATACAGGGTTTGGTACTCTCTGTGGTTTCAGACACCTATTGGAGGTCTTGAACATATCTCCTGCAGATAAGGGAGGACTACTGTATAAGGTATTGGCTCTTGTGATTATGGAGACTTACTCTCAGGATCTGCTCTGCAAGCTTGAGACCCAGCAAAGTTGGTGGCATAGTTTGAAGGTCGGAGAGCCAGAGAGCTAATGGTGTAGATTCTAGTCTGAGTCTGAAGGACTGAGGGCGGGAGAAGATCAATGTCTCTACTCAAAACAGGCAGGGAGCAAATTCAACCTTCCTTTGCCTTTTGGTTCCATTCTGTCTGCCAATAGAAGGGATGATGCCCTCCCACGTTGTGGCATGCCACCAACTTTCCTCAGTCCACCAAATCAAATGCGCACCTCTTCTGAATACACCCTCATAGACACAGCCAGAAGTAACAGTTAACCGGCCATCTGGACATCCCATGTCCCAGTCAAGTTGACTCATAAAATTAATTGTCACCCTCCTTAACCCCAATTCTAACCCCAATTCTAGGTGGAGATAACCCTAGGGAGGAGACCAACCATGTTGACCAAACTCCACCTCCTGGGTTCAAGTGATCCTCCCACCTCAGCCCTGCAAGTAGCTGAGACTACAGTTGCAAGCCACACCCAGCTAATTTTTCTTTTTTTTGTAGAGACAGGGTTTCACCATGTTGCCCATGCTGTTCTCAAACTCCTGAGCTCAAGTGATTCACCCACCTCGGCCTCCCAAAGTGCTAGGATTATGGGCATAAGCTACCACGCCCAACCTGAGCTGACAGCCCTTATGCTATGAGATAATGGCTTTTAGATCAAGGGGTCAAAAGTGATGAAATTGGTGAAGCCTGATGTTTTATTGGGGAAGAAACTCCCAAAGGTTCAGGAGTGCCTCCATGCAATTGCTGAAAGGACAAGTAATAATTGGACTGACAATTTATTGGTGAGATATAGGGAATGCTAGATGATGGTATAGCTCATCCAGGGGACAGGAGTGATGAGAACCCAAAGATTGTACCCCTCATTTTGAGATTGTGATGGCAAACTAGTAAGTCTGATGAGGACTGAGGAATCACTGATGATCACCCCTCTGGATTCTCAGAGTTGTCTGATTTATTAGGTGTTAAGACAGAAGCATTGGTTGTCCCATGAACTCTCCAACACAATTTAGACTCTGTAGGAATGACTGTTTACTACCCATTCAGGCAGTGGAACATTCTTCATGCCCAGGCATCTTAACACATTTCTATATCTTTTACTGCCTACAGAGTATGAAGGCAAGAGAACCCTGAAACTCTACTCATAGACACTTTCAGCTGGTCTAATTCTATAGGTGTCCTGAATACATTTATTACCTGTGTTAGTTTTCTATTGCTACATAACAAATTACCACAAACTTTGTGGCTTAAAACAACACAAATTATATAGGTCAGAAGTCTGCAGGGCATGGCTGAATTTTCTGCTCAGGGCTTCATCAGGCTGAATGAAATCGAGGTGTTGGTTCAGGCTGTGGTTCTTGTGGGCTGGGAGTCTTCTTCCAGGCTCAATGGTCATTTGTAGAATTCATTTCCTTAACAGTTGTAGGACTAAGGTTTGCCTTTTTCTTTTTTTTGAGATGGAGTCTCGCTCTGTCACCAGGCTGGAGTGCAGTGGCATGATCTCAGCTGCAACCTCTGCCTCCCAGGTTCAAACAATTCTCCTGCCTAAGCCTCCGAGGTAGCTGGGAATACAGGCATGTGCCACCACACCCAGCTAATTTTTGTATTTCTAGTAGAGACGGGGTTTTACCATGTTGGCCAGGATGGTTTCGATCTCGACCTCCAAAAGTGCTGGGATTACAGGCTTGAGCCACTGCACCCAGCCAACTAAGGTCTTATTTTCATGCTGGCTTTCAGCTGGGGACTACTCTTAGCTCCTAGTGGATGCCTGCAGTTTCTTGCCACATGGCTTCTGTAGGTAATTCACAAAATGCACGTTTGCTTTCTTCCAGGTCAGCCAGAACATATCTCTCTGACTTTGTTTCTGCAACTAGCCAGAGAAAGCTTTTCTTTTTTTTTTTTCTCTAAGCCCTTTAACATTTACTTAAACAGCTGAGGCACAAGCAATAGTAAAACTGGATTTTTTACATTACAAAATCATTCTGTATGATATCTGCATGATATACCAATTTTCTCGTAATCTCTTCTGCAATAACATCTCATTACACTCTGGTCCACAGGTTGACTTAATAAAGTCAGAATGGCAGGCAGGAAGATGGTAAAATAAATTTACTGAGGGGCAAAAGGAATCAAACATTTACTGACTGCCTCGTATGCATGCTTTACTTAAAATTTTACATACTTTACATAAATGCGAACCTAAGTTCTAGTTATCAGTTAACAGGTCAGCATTGCTACAGCCAGTATGTCAATTATTTAAATGTTCTTTCACTTTAAGTACAAATTGTGGAACAAAACAATGTATCTTTGCCCAAAGAAGCATGTCAACTGTTATAGGAATACATTATTTTCCATTTCCAAAGTTTTTGTTTTTAATAAGTGTGCAATATTAGCACATGGAAACATTCAAGCTGTTTATTGCTCCACTGAAATCTGGGTTGTTTTGTTGTTGTTGTTGTTCTCACCTGCTGAGCACCATTTGGCCAGCATCACTACAATGACCTGATTCCATCACCTGGTAAAACTTAAGATGGAAACGGATAGTGTTTGGCAGTTGTACTTCTGGGAGAAAACAGTGCTGATGTTTTTTCTTTAACGTGACACAGCTAGCTTTAAAAAGTGGTACCTCATTTTAAAGCACCAAAGTTGTCATTTAAGTAAGAAAATGTATTTGGCTTAACGAGCTGTAAAATGAAGATAGCACTGCCTTTTCAAGCATTACAGCAAAGCCAGTATGTCCAGAGCCAAGTGATACCCAGCTCATACCACACTTCAGTTCCCAAGGAAATGGCGTTTCTGCCCTTCCTAAGTCTAAGCTGCCGCTCACTCCTCTAACCAGCCCTCCTCTTTCTGAGTGCATTCTTTCCTTGCTGAGCTATCTGCCCCTTGTTCC